CACAAACTGCTTTAATATATTAAAGCAGAAAACATAGTACTACTTGATGAGTTTGTTTCAAAATTTCTAATAGAAAAGCTTCTAAAATCCTGGACAGACTACAAACAATAACTGAAGCACAAACATAAACAAATGTCATTTGCATATTTTATTACGCACATCATCATTGAAGACACCAACTGAAAGGAGTGTGATGCTGCAAGGGCTGAGGCATTATCAGCTAAGGTAAATATGATAGAAGACAAACCAAATTCAAAAAGGTACGAGAAAAAACCTGATCATAAAAAGAAAAATAATTTTAAAAATTCTCGTCCATATGGATTTAACCTCATCTTTAGGAAGTAGGAAAAACTTTTTGTTTGTGGAAATCCAGGTCATCATACACCTTAATGTAGACGTAGAATAAGAAATGACAATCCTCCTAAGGCAAATTTGGTCGAAGGAGAAAATACAATTGTTGTGGTCATTTCTAAAATAAACCTTGTGACAAAGGTGAACAAATGGGTGGTAGACTCTAGTGCTCCCAGACACATATGTGCAAACAGAAGTGTTTTTACCTCCTACACTAGTGTGGGATGAAGAAAAACATGTTTATGTCTGTGATTATAGGACAACTTCTGTCCTAGGAAAAGTAAAAGTTATTCTAAAGGTCACATCTGGAAGACTCTGACCTTGAATGATGTGTTACATGTGTCATTAATCGGAGTTAATCTAATCTTTGTAGCACTGTTAGGAAAGGTTGGGGTTAAAATGTCATTCAAATATGATATGATTGTTATGACAGAAAATAATGTATTTATGGGGAATGATATTGTGATCAAGGTCTTTTTGTACTCAACATCTCTTAGATTGTTAATGAATCTCGTTCTTGTGCTTATGTTTTTGGTTCATATGATATGTGACATGCTAAATTAGAACATGTGAATTCCTCGTATGTTATGAAATTACAACGATTATGATTAATTAATATGCATGATAACACAAAGTAAGAAATGTGATATATTTGTAGAATTTAAAATAACCAAGAAAAATTATTAATTTATAGAATGTCAAATTAAACTTTTAGGATTAATTCATACTGACCTAGCTTATATAAAACAAATTATGTCTAGAGGTGGTAAAATTTATTTTATAACATTTATAGATGACTAATCTTGATACATTGAAGTATACTTAATCAAACAAAGCGTTTGACATGTTCTTAACTTATAAAGTGGAAGTAAAAGATCAATTAAACAGGAAAATTAAATGGATTAGATCAGGTAAAGATGGTGAATATGTATTATTTAATGATTATTGTGTTAAAGAATGCATTATTGTTCATGAAGTGACCCCACCATATTCACCTGAGTCTAATGGAGTAACTGAGAGAAAAAAATAGAACCTTAAAAGAAATTATGAATGTCATGCTTATTAGCTTTAGTACACTTGCTAACCTTTTGGGAGAAGCTCTACTTAAATATGTTTTTTACAAAATAGGATACCACATAATAAAACTAGTAAAACTCTCTATGAATTATGGAAAGGTTATCAACTTAATCTTAAATACCTAAGAGTGTGGGGGTGCTTAGTCAAGGTAATGTTACCAGATCCTAAGAAAAGAAAAATAAGCTCTAAAACTTTTGATTGTATATTCTTAGGCTATATGGAACATAATGTTGTTGTCTATAGATTTCTTGTCCTTCAAAGTTATTTGATTGAACATAATACTATAGTAGAGACAAAAAAAATTGAGTTCTTCGAACATATTTTTCCTTAAAATTAGTAAGACACATGAATAACCTATATATATTAATAGTGATGACATGTATGAGGATTTGAGGAAATGTAAAAGATAAATAAAGGAAATCTCCTTTGGGAATTATTTTTACACTTATCTAATTAAAAATGGTCCAATGAGTTTTTTAGAGGCTACTAGTGCTTCTGATGCAACACATTGGGATAAGGTCATTAAGACTGAAATTGACTCAATTAAGAAAAATAATACTTCGACTTTAATATATTTGCCTAAAGGAGCAAAACTCATTGGTTGTAAGTGGACCTTTAAGAAAATGTATCATTCTGATGGATCTATAGATAAATATAAGGCAAGATTAGTAGTAAAGAGTTTTACTCAAAAACCCAACATTGATTATTTTGATATTTTTCTGCTTTGACTAGGATTTCCTCTATTTGTATTTTATTAGCTTTAACAACTATCCATAAGTTATTTATACCCCAAATACCAAATGGATGTTAAGACAAATTTTCGGAACGGTGAATTAGAGGAGAAAATTTATATGACTCAATCTAAAGGGTGTGTTATTCCTGGTCAAGAAAACAAAATGTGCAAACTTTAAAAATTTTTGTATGGGTTACAACATACACAAAAATAGTGGTAGGAAAAACTTAATAATGTTCTACTTTATGATGACTTTTCAACTAATGATGTTGATAAATGTGTGTACTGTAAATTTGAAAGTGGTGAATGTGTCATTATATGTTTATATGTAAATGACATGTCAATATTTGACTCCTACATTGACATAGTCTCTAGAACTAAGTTGTTTCTGAGGTCTAAATTTGAAATGAAAGACATGATTGAAGCCAATGTGATTTTAGGAGTTAGAATCATAAGGAAATGACTTCAAATTATGACTTCTTAGGAAGTTTGAGAAACTTCTTAGGAATTTTGAGTATTATGACTTCGAATTAGTGAGTACCCCTTATAATGTTAACTCTAAATTAAAGAAAAATGGAGGAGACTTTATTTCTCAACCTTAATATGTCCAATTAATTGGGAGCTTATTGCATCTAACGAGGTATTCTAGACCTATTGGTTATGCAATAGGTATACTGAGTAGGTACAATCAATATCCTAATAAGGAACATTGAGATGCACTTGAAAGACTTATGAAATACTTAAGAGGTTAAATGGATTATACCATTGAATATAGTGGATTTTCCGTTGTACTAGAAGGGTACAATGATGCTAACTGTATTTATTATTCAGATGAGACAAAATTCACTAGTAATTATGTATTTACACTTGAGGAAGGTGCAATTACACGGAGATCACCCAGACACAATTATTGTGAGATTGACAATGGAATTAGAGTTTATTTCTCTTAAAATGGCTAGTAGTGAAATTGAGTGGTTGAAAAACTTCTTAGCAAATATTTTATTAGGAATGAAACCAACCCCGTCTGTGTCAATATATTGTGATTGTCAATCGACAATAGTTATAACTAAAAACAAGAATTACAACGGACATATAAAATTCAGACACAATTTTGTGAAACAATTGTTAAAGAGTGGAGAAATTTCCATGGACTATGTGAAGTCAGAATGAAATCGAGCATATCCTCTGAAAAAATTCCTAGGGAGAAACATCATTTTAGAAATATCAAGGGGAATGAGACTCAAGTCACTTGCAAATAAACAAGTGATGGTAACCCAATCTTTATAATGGGTAAAAACAAGTCACTGTTAGCACTAAAATTAATTAAAATCAACTATGTTCATTCTTATTGTGTATGTGAAAGTAATAAATACTGCATTATTGAGAGGTTAAACCTTGTAATTAAAATTTTATATGGTGTAAGAATTTTATTCTAAACAAATTTTTTAATGATCTTCATATCTCTTACAGGTGGTGTATAATTTTCAACATATGCTTGATAAAATTACCTATAAAAGTATTGAGTGAGGCCGCTTGTATAAGAACTTGACAATATTTCTGGAGTACTCCTGAATACCGGACACATATATGACCTAGTAAGTACAACACAATGATAACAACAAACATTGTACGAGTATATTATGATTGTTAAACTGCTAATACACACTAAGTGTTTTGGTTCATATAACTCGTTTTACCAACTATACTGTGTGTGAATTTTTCAGTCTAGAACTGATTCATATAACTTGCTATACCAGTTTTGATGTATTACATCTTATATAAGCCCAAATTTTTATTCTTTTATTTTATTATCTCTCTTTTGATTTTGCAATATGTGGGGAATTGTTATAGAGGAAGAGTATTACAAAACCTAAACGCGAGACCCACGAACGTTGAACCCAGGATTCTTCCTCCACAAATGTTGGTCTCAACTGCTGCATATCTATAACTTCTCATATGATCCATGGAAACTATCATGTATCTCCCTTCGTGTATCTTAGCACACGTCCACAACTCTTGGTGGATATTTGTGTTGGAAATATTATTTTATTATCTTTTATTTAAATTAGGTATTAATAGATTTTATTATCGTTTAAGAGAGAATGTAAAAAAATATTAGATTATTATTTTGATTTAGGCAATTATGATTGAGATATTATTGATATTTGATATTTTGTAATATTTTTACTCTATATATACATAAAGTACATGAATAGAAATATACCCACATAATATATCAGAAATACACATATACAAAACCCTAAAAATTATCAACAATTTGATATGGGAGGTTGGGCTTTATGAACCCATCTACACCTATAAATAGATGTTTTTGCCATCTTCCCAAATCATCAAACACACATCTCTTTCACTTTCAACTTATTTGCTCTCTTTTCTCCTTTTCTTCTTTTCTTATATTCTTATATTCTGAGTATTATTCTTAAAGAGTTATGGCTAGTTTTGAGTTCCTCGTAAGAAAATATGAGAAGTTCTTATCCAATCTTAAAGGATTTAAGCAAGACCACAATAAATTCTTAAGATAGTAATTTTACATAAGTAGCAAAAGTTTTGTTGGCATTTTCGTCACCATTTACAACAATATCAACCAAAGAAGGGGACATTGAGTGCAAAAAACATTAAGGAGAAACGATGATTATAATTAATTGCATATATCAAGCTCGGTTGGTACGAAGGTGAAGTAATAAATCAATGAATGCATGATAAGTTACTGATCTTAAAGAAGCATGATATAGACGTAGATCCTGAGAAAATGGCACAAGACATAAAAAGCGAAGGTAACAAACATGATGGGGTGGGGTTGGGAAAGGAAGAAACAGAATCAAGTGGCGGTGAGTTCCTCCTCCTTGTGGGTGTAAATAACAACATTTGAGGTGGGGTAAGCAACACAGGTGAGAACAAAGCCTTCACTCTCTTGAGCTTCATCAAGGAAACTACCATCTGACTGGTCCACTTTGCCAGACACAACTTTGCCAGCACAGGAAGAACATGCACCAGCCCTGCATGAGTAGGGAAGTTCAATGCCTTCTTCCTCAGCCTGGTCAAGAATGTATACATCATCTGGGCATTCAAAATCTTTCTCTCCATCTGGGGTGATCAGCTTCACCTTGTGACTGGCCATGGCACTGACACGACCCCCACCTCCTCCTTTCACACCAAACATGGCGTTAACGTTGGAGAAAGCCCTCAGGCTTGTGCTGTTCAGAGGCTGTTTCCTAAGGAAAGTGGTGTTCAACACAGAGCCACTCAAAGCGGGTGTGGTCGACGCCATTCTCCTCTTGCTTGCAAAGTCGATGGATGCGTCTCGTTCTTTGTTGATAACGATAAGGAGCTTGTGATTATAACCAGCAAGCACCACCAAATTCACGTGCCTCAATCTATCTCCACAGAATCGAGGCTGCCACTTGAAATTAGCATCAGAATGTTCTTCCATGCATCTTATCCTTTCATATATATATTTACGGCTATCATTCGTTTAAAATATTTTTAATAGAATAAATTCAAATATTTCAGTGGCTATGAGTGCATCCAATGAGTGTCACTTTCCTCACCACTCTGCACACCTTATACTTCATCAAGTGTTTAGATTATTATTATTTTTTTAGTTGATTTATTCATTTATTTCTCCCTTCACATGTATCCATATTTTGACTTGAAAAAAATCATTTTTAATAGATAATCAACTTTGAGGACTGTAATTCTTTATTTAATAACTTAAATTTGAAATTTATAAGTAATTGTGATAAAAACTTTTTTTTTTAGACTTAAAGGGGTATAATGAAAAATTTTCTTAAGATAAACCCATTTTAATACGAGGAGGTTTGATGAGATTTCACAGTTAGATATATAATAACATAACTACATATATAATAACATAAGTGAGTATAATCCTTATCTCATTAAACCAGTTTTATGAAATTGAATTAACTATTTTAATATCTGAAATGATATTAAAGTTAAGATAACGACAAATATTAGATTAGACAATACACAATAAAAGAGAGAAATTATTGTAAGATACATAAATTGTTAAGTAGTATATTTTAGTTTATAAATTTTGAAAACTACATGTTGAATTTAGTTCAATGTATTCTCTTATTTTTGAAAATTATTTAATTTATTGAATAACCAATGCAAAATTGGTTCTTTGTATTTGTATTTATTCATGTGATAAAATGTTGGTAGTATTTAGCACTGCTTTTATAAATTTATGAACCCCATAACATACCATAAAATGTTAAGAAGAGGGATAGAATGAGAGGATCCAATTTGTGGTAATTAATAAATTTACTCAACAAACTTAAAACGTATGCAATGTGTGGTCCGTAACGCAGGAGAAGAAATTAACTTCCCAACGGAATTTTGATACATCTCCATAGTGGCATTGTGACATATGCATGACTCATAATTAAGGTTTGAATCCATAGGAATACTTACCTATTACCTTGGGCAAACATGTAGCATGTTCTTGTTGAGATGTGAAAATAACGAGTTTGTAGTGAGTCACTTCAATACCAGAAAGATGTATTAGCATCGCAAGAATTTTTATCTCAAATTGCTTTGTGAAATATTTACTCAATACTTGTTCTTTCTGATCATCTCTAGTAACATCGTTCACATAAACGAATACAATCACTCAACGGTGCTTCAATGGTGAAGGAGAGAAGCAGAAGTATTTGCTTCAGAAAACGTTATCCGTTTATGTTTCATATTTGAAGTTTTACTTCAGAACCAGTTGGTACGTCATGGCATAGATGCATAATTCATTCTTAAATCAATGGTTTGAGGCACAGACACAAAAGTAGTTGAGAGTGAAGCTAACTTGTACTGTATGTACAATTAGATATCATGTCTCTATATGAAGGTTAAAAAAATGTGGCCACACGATTAGTCTCCGGGCAATAACATCATCTTCCATACCAAGTTCAGAACGCGAATAAGAAGCCACCGTCAGGTTGTAGAAGTTAGAAACACTGGTCACAAGCCATCATCGATGTTTAAAGTTAAGAACCCAGGTAAGACGCAAGTTAGTATCATCATTAATGCCAAAGAATGGAGAAAATTGGTGCAGAAAGCACAAATTGTTTTATAGTATGTAAGGATATTGCGTGCAAAAACTGTAAGGCGAAGATTATTGTAGTTACAAAAAACAAGTGGAGGTGCTACGACAGGTGAAGTACTGAATTAATGCATAATAAGTTGTTCTTCATAAACAAACATAACATATGTATTTATCCTCAGAAAATGGCACAAAAGAAGGCAAAAAACACGATGGGGCAGGGAAAGGAGGGGACTTAATGAAGTAGTGGAAGTGGTGATGATAGGATTCAAGCAGTGAGCTCCTCCTCCTTGTGGGTTTCAATAACAACATCAGAAGTGGGGTAAGCAACGCAGGTGAGAACAAATCTTTCAGCAAGTTGGTCGTCATCAAGGAAGTTACCATCTGACTGGTCGACCTCGCCAGCCACAACTTTGCCAGCGCATGAAGAGCAAGAACCAGCCCTGCATGAGTACGGAAGTTCGATGCCTTGTTCCTCCGCCTGGTCAAGAATGTATGTATCATCTGGGCATTCAAACTCTTGCTCTCCCTCTGGGGTCAGCAGCTTCACCTTGTAACTGGCCATGGCAGTGACACCACCTCCACGCCCTCCTTTCACACCAAATACGGCGTTAGTGTTGGGGAATGCCTTCAGGCTTGTGATGTTGACTGGCTGTCTCCTAAGGAAGGAGGTGTTCAACACAGGGCCACATAAAGCAGGTGAGGTGGCCATTCTCTTGGTTGAGTTTATGAGTAGTATGCTACTTTACCAACTCCTGATGATTCTTGTTCTACTGATAAAGAACGAGGGAGCTTGTGGAAGTAGTGTGGTTGGAACGAGCACCAACGTTAGGTGATATACTACCTACCTACCATGTGGCTTTGTTTCCCACCTCAATCTATCTTATCTCTATTATCACCACTCATTGTTCACGATGCTGGCTAGCAGTATCCGCACTCAAATTATACCATACGATCCTTTCAACCAATCTCTCACAAAATCCAGTCCTGTTTGCGGTTCTTAATGCTTGCAATTCTATTACGACTTAAACACTGATATTGGTTACTAGAAAAATTGTGTTTTGAAATAAAAAAAAAATAAAAAAAATTGAATACACAAGCACTTGTGAAAATTTATTGAATTTTCACGCTAACCACATCTAATGAGTTGAAAATTGTGTGCTTGTGCTTAACACTATAATCTCCAACAGAGCGAAAAGGAGCAAGATTCTTTTGTCCCAACAACCACCGAGTATTTTTTTTCAATTCACGCCAAATTAGGTAAAATCACGAGTTATATCAACTTTAAATAACCTTTTCATTGGATGAAAAAATATACTAAATTTTACTACCAACTTGCTTTTAAAATAAAAATATTTGAACATACATCATTTGACACCAAGATCAATTTCATTCATACTCAATTTTGTAAGGGCTCTTCTCAAACACTGATTATTTATCCTTGCTGTGCTGAATTTTGCAAACCCATGTTCTACGGGAAACTTCAAAAGATACAGAAAATGACTAAAAGAATGCAACGTTCAGAAACAGAGTATGCAGTTGTACGAGCTGTTCATCACATTTATTCATGGTTAATATCGTGTCTACACACCCAGACAGAGGAACAAATGGATGCAGCCTAACAAACATTGGAGAAGGGGAAAACGTCAATGATTTCAAGTAGAACAAGGAGAGATGCAGGCAGGAAGTAGTTAGAAGGATATTCAGATTTGATACAAAATTCAGAAGCACAAAATTCGTTTCCGTAACTTCATCCCCTCTACGTACAATAGCTAAACCGTGTAGGGGAATCCGACATCAAAGTCCGTCAATCGGGCACCTATTATAAAAGGGTAAAAAGAAAGTAGCAACGAGTCTGATATTTTGCTAACTATCTAAATTTTAAAGACCAATCCCTGCATTCTAATCAAGGCCTTCAATCACAGTCAGGGAAAAAAATCTCAGGGCTTCCCTAGTATAGAGAAAGAATACATTCCCTAATATAGAGAAAGAATACATCCCATCCTCAACCCTGTGATACTTACTACCTGTAAACACTGTTTGGTCCCCACACATGACCAGAGGCCTCCCCGAATATATTTATTGTCTCCAACAACAAACATAAGGAGGTGCTCTGGTTTCAGACTTCTGGAAAAGCCTTAGTCACACTTGATGTTTCTGTAGATCCTCCTCACAAACAAATTTGAACCAAGATAACCTACAGCTCCTGCACATTTGGAAAAAAAATTTAATCTTATTCAGGCAATAAGAACGTACAAGCATTTGTATCTACATCTAGTTTCAGCAGTGTGAACGCACAATCCGAACAGAGATTACAAATAAAACGAAGACTTACCACAGAGAATTCCCAGTCCAAGACAAAACATCAAAGTGTATCCAAAATAAAAGCTGGTTTGGAAGAAGCCTGACATCTTTGTCTTCACATAGTAGTAGTATACTGAGTACAAATACACGTAAACTGCTGTTGAGGCAGCCGAAAAGAAAGAAGTCCATTGCCAGTGGTAGTTCTCAGCATTTAACAAAAAGTATGTCCCCACAATTGTCACACAAACAGTAACAATGATAAGAATCAGAAAAACCAGTAGCATGAAGCCATATACATAGTACACCTGTTTGTCAAAACGCAAGGTGAGAAACACATAAGAAACCACGCATGTATTTACTCGACTATCACAGGAATATTAAGCGTTACTACTTGAAAGACAATTATATAGAAATAATGTTCTAAAGAAATATTATTGGATCTGTTCTAATAAAGTAAAACTTTAACCCAAACTAAGGAAGGAAAAACAAATTGTTCGCTGCCCAAGCAAATAATTGCATTTTAATTCACCTTGTAATTCCAGAAGGAAGTGAATACAAAATACATCTCGATGAATATGCTGCCAAAGGGAAGCAGTCCCCCCATCAGAGAAACTACAGATGGTGTAAGGTACCACTTTTTCTCAGGAATAGGACGAGGAATGGTCTTCACACGACATGGATTATTTGGAGCACCACTCCAGTTTCTTCCAACAACTGTACCAAGAAGTGCTAGAGGGAAAGAGATAAAAGCCCATATAACAAAGACAACAACCATAGTACCAAAGGGGATTGCAGCTAGAGATCCATAGAATATAGCAATTGTGTTTAAAACAAAACCAATTCCAAAGCACATGAATGGGAACAGTGATGCAGTCAAGATCATGGATTTAATCCAGCTTTTACCTGAAAATGACACAGTTATAATCATTCATAGAGACAGACAGGCAACAAACAAACATGAAGGGAACACGTGCCATAGTTCACTGCAAATTCTTACCTCCATTTCGTGAGTACATTCCCCCACTCACATAACCAGAGATGAAAGATGTGAGAGCATAGCATACAATGAAGGTTGTGACGATGGCTCCTCGACTGCACATTGAAGGAAACTTACATATTAATGAAGAGAGAAGAAGTGGACAAAAACTATAGTGGGGGAAACTAGAGGAATGTCGACTCATACTTGAGATGTATAAGCAGAAAATAATATTACACATAACGCATTTAATTCCATTTTGTAGCAATCACACTATCATTAACAAAATCATTCTACAGAGCAAATTAAAGCCAGTTTAAGGTTATGGACTTACCCAACATACAACATCCCAACAATAGCCAACAAGATGACAAGGAGAACCAGCAATGCAAGCTGAGCACCTGTACCAACCACAGCTGAAAGAATGACCAAACTGCGAGGAGGCCTAAAAACATCACCATGCACGAGTTTCCAGCCAGATTCTTCACTAACATCTCTTTCCTGGAAGTATTTGGGGGTTGACCAAGAATTGACAATCAGAACCAAAATGAAGTAACAATAATAATATTAGTACCAGACAACTATCTAAAAGGTCTCACCAGAGTTTCCAAATCATCATCTTCCCGAGCATACTTCGCATAGTCATTTCTCAAAGTTCGCATCAATATCATGGACACCAATCCAGTAAGGAAGATGACCATCATAAAAGAATTAAAAATGGAGAACCAGTGAATCTATAGAAAGAAAAAGACCTCTTAGTGAAATGGCTAAGATAGGATCCGCATGAATGAACACATAGCAGGCAATCAGCAATAACCACCTCTTCAATCTAAAATACAAAGCTGGCAGCAATTATTTTCACCTGATGCTCAAAGAATGGATAGTCCAAGTATACATCAAATCGGCGTGCAAAAGTGACATTTGTAGGAGTCCATTTCACAGAATATGTCATGTCCAAAGATTTTCCTACTTCCAGAGGCCTTGGGTTGTCATGAGTTAGATTAACATGAATGATCTGCAATAATTGGACCTAAGTATGTACTCCATAACAGCAAAAGATAGCCAAGATAATTAAATTACTCCTGACCTGATCTTTATTGTATTGAATATTGATGTTCTTGTGAGCATAAATTACATGCTTGCCATTATCACTATTCTTATCAGGATGTAGCTCCCCAACATACCCTTAAACATGAATAAAAGAATCTTATACAATGATCAACCAATGAAATGATAAAACAAATCAAATAGAGAGAAAGTTGTAGGCATACCCCACAATGGAAGGTCATCTGAACTTGTGTTTAGCACATCAACAACCAACAAATAGAACAACCATGGAAAGAAAAAATGCCAAGTGTAAGTTAATCAGAAAATTTATAAAAGTAATAAAAAACAAAAACAAATAATAAGGAGCAACCCGTAGAACAAACCCTCCTCACTCACACCATTACACCTATCAAGACAATATAATATCAATTGCCTAACCTTTGCTATTGAAAAATATATAGTTTATACATTTAAAAAAAAAAAAGTCATTTTTTCAAGAATGGCCTTGGTGCTACGGTTGAAGCATCACTGCATTTTCAAGTCTTGGAATCAGCCTTTACAGCTGCCAAGTATAAACCTACAGAGCAGGAGAGCAGGGGCAAACCATCCCTAGACCCCCCACACATTATAGGAGGAGCTCTACCACACCAAGATTCCCTTGCCCTTTTTTTACTGCAGAAGATTACAATATCAATCAAGTCAAGAATGATTAAGCTATAAATTCACATGGAGAATTCTTAACTCCAACCTTCTTTCAACTACGATAACTATGTACATCATGAAACACCCAGTCTACCCAGCCTGATGGGAGTTATGGTTGTAGTTATTGAAGGATCAAAATTGAGCAGGGCACTGCTCTTCCAGGCTCAAGCATTTCTAATTCAGTCAAAAATTTATATTCCCATGTAATGAAATGTTGTAACTAGTCATGATTCATGAATAATTCTCAATGAATGTAAATTACAAAATATTTAATATAAACGCCTGTTATTTTTAGAATTAGGGAAAGAATTCTCATGACATCACTATGCCACAACAGTTATAGAGAAAGCCGTATTTCTTTGATTTTAAAGAATCTGATAAATCATTTTCAACTGAGACTAAGGCATGCATAGAATAACTTAGACTAAACCCACCCCTAGCTAAAAGCCTCCCCGTCACTCTCACCACCAAACTAGGCTTCTCAGACTCCCAAAAGCAATGGATTGAATACAATTACAGGTATCTTCCTGGATGACTATAAGATTTAACATATCATTCACAATTCAAATCTATTGTTGGCCACTTTCCAGTGGCATTTTCCCTGCAAAAGTTGATTGGGTAACTAAAGAGTTAAGGGCTATATTGTGCAGGGTGGGTATTATTTAGCCCATCGCTTTAGTTTATGCAATGGCCAAATACAAAAAATATTGTTGTCAGTGTCTAGATTTCTTAACTCTATAAAAGTACATACATTCTAATCTGACAACTCTCTAAGTAATAAGTGAAAGAAATAAACATGGCAACATACCCATGAAGAATTCAAACCAGTAATTATTCTCTATTGCATCCTTGAACTGTTTAACCTTTGCCTCGTCCAGCTCCACTCGGCAAAAGGTGGTCTTTTCCACATTTCCTTAAAAAAAAAAGAAAAAAAAAAAGACTGTTAGAGCCAGTTTGTCTACTGTTAGATCTTTTGAAATAAATAGGATGAAAACAGCCTCCATACCTAGGAACTTTATGTCAAGTTGACTATCAATAAGTTCATTGCCACCCAGGACCTCACCAAGACCACCCCATTTGTGTGCAGGGTTACCAGGTGGCCGGCAAAATGGTAGGCTGTAATAATTGTACGTTTCTTGCGGATTGTTATAAGGACCAACTTTGTTTACCCAAAGGATAACTTGATCATCTGGTTGATACTGCAATAAAATGCAATACATGTTTAAAACAGATAGCCATTGATGGCTCGAAGCTACTAACACATAAGAAACATATTTTATCTTTTGTCCTAGATCAAGGAAATGAGGAGAGATACAGTGATACAATGATTAAAATGACAAAGGCTTAAAGATATAGGTATTATTGTGGGTCAGTCCATTGGAGAACCGGGCACTCAATTAATATAAAGAACTTTTCATACTGCCAGGGTACTGCAAAACTGGTGCCAGCACCATATAATGGAAAAATTCAATTCAACTATGAACGTTCATGAGACGTGTACAAACTACTATTTTCACATATGTCATAACCATAAATTGATTATTATGAATTAACCACAAAGCCGCATATGACAAATCACAAATACTTCCAGTCAAAGTTCGAATTATTGGAAAGCTTCTGCCAAAGGAAAGACACCGATACCAAACTCCTAACATCCAGAGTGGCAGAAGCTCCTACGAACTAAACTGTTTTCAAACCGAACATTACCATTGGACAGGTATGGCCGTTATTTCAGCCTCCAAAATACTAAATAAATTGCTAATAGACAGTACAAAAGACTCTTTTTGTGTTTGGGAGAGCATTTGCAAGTGATTCTAACTGAAATTGATTTTGCAAATTCGAATTCACTTAGATTTGTTTTGAAGAAAGAGTTCTGTATGTTTGGATGCCTTATTCTAAAAGAAAGTTACTATACGACTCAGTATAAAGTTTTCGGTCCCACGCCAAAGCTACATAGATTTGTATAAACTTAAAATCAATTCTGAACTCGGGGATCATTCTTCAATGAGAAATCAAACACGCGAACATTTACCTATAGTCACCTTACTTGATATTTCAACGTGACATTGAATGAGTCAGAGTAAAACTAAAAAAACACACAAGAACGGTAAAACCACCGGTGTTGCAATTTTCAAGTAAAGAAAAGGGATAGACAAAAAGAAATCACCATTTGCAACACTAAAACGATTGACAACAGAGAGTGGACAACAACTATGAAGCTTGTACGTTGAGATTATGCATGCCAACTTAGACCAAAGCATTCCATCAACGTTCAACATCAGCCGGAGTTTCTCACATTCACTTAATGCAGAGTCTCATGAAGGGAAAAGAATCCTAAATACTTTGAATCCCATACCTAGCGAATATCATGAATTAATAACAGAACAGGGAAGAGTTGAAATTGCAATCCATTGACATCCAAAACGAAAATGTCAATTATTAATAGAGATGCATAACGATGAGGAGTGAGCAAACAGCTGAGATCTAAAGCCATATCGCTAAAAACATAAAAGAGAAAAAACACAGAGCTGAGAAAATGAAAGCGAAACTGAACGGTAGATAGATCTAATCGGAAAATGACGAAAAAGTGGATCAGGCGATGGAATCGGAAAACCTTACCCTGTGATCTGACTCGGAAGCAAACGCCGCAGAGAGGAAGAGAGAGAGGAGGAAGAGGAGGGAGAATCTGAAGACGATGGACATGGCGGATCTCGGAGCAGAAGAGAGGAGAGAGACGAGAAACACGACGAGAGGACTTGCCCTTGAAGGATTGAGACTCTCTCTCTCTGTGCCACTGATTACTAATATTAATTTTTATGTTCAATCTAACTAACCTTCCAATTTTTTTCTTCTTACACTACAGGGAAACAAAATTCATTTTTTAAATATTTATTTTTATATATACATATTAAATAATATTCTAGAAAATAAATATTTAAATTTTTTAATTATATTTAAGGTGTAACTTCATATTCTGTAACTTGTAACTAGTAATTTTTATCATGGGTAGATTAAAAAACATGGTTATCTATATTTTAATAATTTAAAAAAATGATTCTATAACTTAAAGTAATTACAATAAAAATAAGAAGTTCTAAATATATTATAAAATAACCTCTTGTATTTTCGTGTGAACATAATTTTTTTCACTGTAAGTATAAAAATATTGATATTATTACTTTCTCAAAAATCTACAAAACTATTTTTAAAAACTTGTAATGAATATGAAAATATTATATACCCAATTTTATACTTTTAAGAGTGAATTTAATCCGTGAAAAACACACTTTAGAATTATTTTAATTGTGAATAAAATATTACAAAATGCAATTAAGTCTAACATTATTTTTAAATTACACACAAAAATATGTGATTTGGTCTTAGTATTATTACTAAAAAATTCAGTATTGAAAATTATGCCGGTAAATTTAATTGGGCTTTTGGAGTAAGGCTAATACTTAAAAGTTGTTTTTTCTTCCACTTTAATAATTTTTTTTGTATTCTTATAAAATGTTAAAAATAATTTTGAGGGTAGTTTTGTCTCTTTCATGTTACATATCACTTTTACCTTCATTAGTTATATTGCTTTTATTTACCTTGTTTGGATTGAATTAGAGATTTGTGAGAGTAGATTAAAGGTGATTTAAAGTGAATTGTGAGATTGTTTGGATTTAAGAAAAGATAGTAGATTTGAAGAGATTTAAGTATATTTATTACAGTTAATATAATTGATGAGACTGAATATAAAAAAATTGAATAATAATTTTATAATATAATGACTCAAATACCCTTGTTATTTTAATAAATAAATTAAATAAAATGATAATTATAATATAATAGAATATAAAAATATTAATTAATTTATATTATACATAATATTTGAATATATTAATATTATTTTATATATCAAGTATAATTAAAATTATTTTATATATTAATTATAAAATATTTTTTATTTTAGTTTAATTTATATATTTAAAATTTTTGATATTTTGAACTAATATTTAACAAAGTAAAATTATATTATTTTAATAATAATTTATAAGTTGTGTATATCTTCCTAATTTTTTATTTTACATAAAATATAATAATTAAATAACGTTAAAATAAAATATATTATTCAATGTGCAATAATATTAAATAGAATAAGATTTTAATTTTATTGAAACATTAATTACAATCATCCAACTAAAAAAATCATATGCTAATAAGGTATCATGTTACATTCATCCAAGAAAAAAAAAATAAAGACAATTATAATATAGTCATCGAATAAGTAAAGACAATTATAACATAATTATCCAACATGATAGATGTATCGTAGATATCCTATGGCTACTAAGATGGGTCACTACCGCTCATGTGCTTCAACAAGTAATTCAATCGTAACTGTGGTGGGAGACAAAAAATCATCTCCTTATGGACGGGTTAAGCTCACATAACATTTACCAAATATCTTATGCAGAATAATGTGACATAACAAAGCTCATCTGGATGATAATGCTTTCATTGTATAAGTTTATTTGTCGATGCATGTTAGCGGCCTGAGCCTCTACGACAACAACCTGTCGCTCTACCAAGTCTGTTAGTTTGGTTGAATATTTGTTACTCTCCTTCATCCTATATATCCATCATTTGGTGGAGTGGATCCATGTGTTCATCACTTCAAATTGTGAATTTAGATCAATATCGATCATGTGAGTTTTCCTATTGGACCCCCTAGATGAAGAGGTGTCACCGAACAGGGCAGATGGGACAAATGGATAAACGACATGACTGTACGAATTTACTCGCGAAGGACTAGGTTGCATCTCAATAAATGAGGGAGTGTAGTCCTAGTGGAGGAAGGGATTTGTTGCATCTTCATTTAGGTTAACACCAAGTCAACTGTGAAACCGCGTCATTGTCGAACCCGTCGTGCGGTCCCGGTCATGTGCCCCGTGGCACGATCAGCTCCCCATAGCTCTTCCAACAAATCATAAAACTTAATGGAGGTGACCTGCCATTTGGCAGCAAATGGTTTTGCTTAAGATAAAACATTTGCACACATGTTTAAACATCGTTGGCTATTATAATTAAAATGTAAAATAATTACTTCAACATAAATACCTGAATCAAGTCTTGTCAAACTTCAGGTTTAACTTCAAACATCCTTATAACCTCATTCTTTGTAAAATCGCTTAGAGTACTAAACAGATCGTGGACTTCATGTCATTGATCTTTCAAATTTTTTTTGCCTGTTCTTTACATTATTCTTGTTGATGCAAGAATAATCAACTTCTCTGAACGCTTCTACAATGTTTGTATATGTCTGGCTAGTCCAACTGCCATCTATTTTATTTAGAGATGGTAAAACGGGCCAGCCCACCCCGTTTTGGCCCGTCCCACCTTTGGTCCGCCAAAAGCGGGGCGGGACGAGCTGGCCCGATATAGTCATGACGGTCGTAGACCTTAGCCCGCCCGCCAAGGCGGGTTAGCGGCTGACGGGCTTGCCTGCCATAATTTAGAAAAAAATATTTTTTTTAAATAATTTTTTTAATAAATTTAATAATAAAATTATTATTTGTTTGTCAATAATTTAATATATATATATATATTATTTCAATTTAATAATATAAATCAATACATTATTTTAAGAAATTATAATTTAGAACAATAATAAAATTTATATAATAATAAATAATAACAAATATATATATATATATATATATATATAAATAACGTTAAACTTATAAAATTTATATTTTTTATATTGAAAAATTCAAATACTTATATCTTTTTTATTTGATAAAATTTCATATTATTCTTGGTTGAGTAATTTTTACACTTTTAATTCAAGTAATAAGGATAAAAATAATCGGTGCTTAGGATAAACAAGGAGATAACAAGAGAGAAAGTTATGTTTCAGGAAAGAGAATATTTTACGTGAGAATGAAACTTTTTTAATTCTCTTTTTAAAATTTTTAACTTTATATATTATCTTTATAATTATTTTTATTACAATAAAAAATTATTTTTTTATTAATTAGGCAGGTCGCGGCCGGCCCGCCCAGTCCTGCGGGTTGGCTCGACGGATTGGTGGGCTTGGCAGGGCGGGTCAGTGGGCTGAAAACACGAACCCGCCCGCCATATTATGGCAGTGCTGGCGCGGCCGCCGGGCCTAGCCCATTTTTCCATCCCTAATTTTATTGTCAGCCCGAGTTTCGTCAATCATGGCAGTTAACAATTGCATATCCATAGTTTTAGTCCATTTTGTAAACTCCCACATGTTATGGCTTGAATCAACCTATCATTTCCCTCTATTCATTGTTATCCTAGAAACAACTAAGTTATGGTACTTTATGTCATTGTTATTATGGTTGGAGAAAATAACAATTTCTACATTAAACAAGTGATGATCATACTTCATTATAGATCGTCGATTACACAAAAATATACATTAACATTAAGAAAATCAAGAAAAAAAAATAATGGAGAGAATATAATTTATTGTTCATAATCATGCCACATTTTGGTTGCTATCCGATCCCTTAAGTTAGTCTCTTCCCTATAATCATCCTTTTGAATTTGGGTTGTAAACCTATCATCCGCACGTTCCTCTAATTCTTGGTTCATTTCATGTAGAAAAGATTTATCATTATCTACTCTACGTAAAAAATTGTGCAAAATGCAACGTGTCAAAACTATATTCTTAGATGTTTCAAAACTATAGTGGGGTCCAACCTCACTTGCTATAATAAGAAATCTTTTCTTTAAAACACCAAATGTCCTCTTAATTAGATTCCTTAATGAGAAAGAACAGTGATTGAATAATTCTCAAGAAGTCGTAGGACCTCTTTGCGTATACTCCTTAAGGTGGTACCTTACTCCTAATATGAAGTTATAATTTGAGCCTGTAACATGAATCCTATGTCTCCCAAATAATATTTACCTGCACAAAAAAATATTAGTTAGTAATTACTGTTAACTATTTATATTAAGAAATAAACGTTATTTTCGTCAAATGTCGCATACCTTCTGGTATGGACAGTGGATCCTCCCTTGTTAAGACGTCTTTTAAAATTCACGAGTCAGATGCAGTCAGTGGCGGATCTTGACCATTGATCTTGGGGGGCCAAATAATATATTATTAATAAATAATAAATAAATATAAAAGGAAGAAAGAATATGAAAGGTTGAAAAGATAAAATTGTAGATATATACTTAAATATATTAAATGATCATTAAGTTTGAGGGAAACAAAATCATAAATTATATGAGAGTTACGAAACGGAGGAGGGATCGAGAGGATAAAATTGTAAATATACAAGTAAATATATTAAATGTTCATTATTTTTGGGGGCCAAAATCATAAATTACATAGGAATTACAAAACTTTGGGGGGGGGGTCACGACCCCCTTAGCTCCCAAGAAGATCCGCCAGATGGATGCGAGATCTTCCCACCTTACTAGCACATGTGAATTTCAAGACGAAATCACATGTCGCAAACACATTTTTTTTTACCAATCTTTTCTAGCATGAAAACGAGGGGCTTTTAATCGTTGTACTTTGACATGGACATGCATTCTATCATTCGAACAAGACAATTCTTAAAATAGAGATAAATTTTGGGATTATTATAGATGTGTGCTTGTACATCCATTATTAATGGTTGAACCAAAAACTCTTCCTTTGATTCAATTGTTGCATTCAACACGTTGTG